AGTTGTGAAGGATTTCTCGAGGATTGCAGTGCCATTGACGCAACTAACTAAGAAGGGAGCACTTATGAATGGACCAATGAAGAGAATCAGCCTTCCAGGAGCTGAAGACGAGGTTGGTTACAGCACCAGTTCTCGTACTACCATCGGCTAATGAGGAATTTTTCTGTAATAACCTGCCAAACCCATAAAACTACGAACCTCGGACACGTTGGTCGGCGTCGGCCAATTCACAATGGCTTCAATCTTACTGGGGTCGACTGATATACCATCTTCATTAATAACATGCCCTAGAAATGAAATGCTAGAAAGCCAAAACTCGCATTTACTCAACTTGGCATACAACTTCTTATCTCTCAAGGTCTGCAGGGCAAGTCTCAGATGATTCTCGTGCTCGCTCGTATTCCCGGAATAGATCAATATGTCGTCGATAAAAATAATGACAAACTCATCTAGGTACGGCTTAAAAACTCTGTTCATCAAGTCCATGAATGCTGCTGGGGCGTTGGTTACTCCGAAGGGCATTACCAAAAATTCGTAGTGGCCATATCTTGTCCGAAAAGCAGTTTTCTCGATGTCCTCGGCTTAAACCTTCAACTGGTGGTAGCCTGACCTAAGTCAATCTTGGAAAAGACTCGTGCTCCTCGTAGTTGATCAAGCATATCATCGATTCTAGGCAATGGGTACTTGTTCTTAATGGTCACCTTATTAAGTCCTCTGTAGTCAATGCAAAGACGAAGTGTGCCATCCTTTTTCTTAACAAATAGAACGGGGGCTCCCCACGGTGAAGTGCTCGGCCTAACAAATCCTTTATCCAACAATTCTTGTAATTGTGATTTCAGTTCTCTAAGTTCAGCTGGGGCCATTCTGTAGGGTGTTTTGGAGATGGGTTGTGTTCCTGACAGGATGTCCACAGTAAACTCTATTTCCCTATCGACAAGGTGGCCAGGCAACTCACTCGGAAAGACATCGGAGAATTCCTCAACAACGGGTATGTCGGCTAACTCAACACTTCCATTCAAATCACTTAGTATACTGCACAAATAACCCTGACATCCTTTTTGGATCAACTTGTAGGCCTTCATGGATGAGATTAAGTAAGGTGGGGGTACTACTCCTTTACCTTGGAAAATGACCTCAGCTTGACTTGGGGTCTTCAGTGTGACGCTCTTAGTAGCACAATTAATGGATGCATGGTTCGCTACTAACCAATCCATCCCCAATATGACATCGAAGTGGGTCATGCTTAATGGCATCAAATCAACTAACAATTCTACGCTCTCAATCATAACAATACACGCCCTATAAATGGATGTAGCAATCATATTCCTCCCAGATGGAGTAGACACAGATAATACGTAATCAAGGGGTTCTAATTCTCTACCCAACTTCTCGGCGAATATAGTGGACACAAATGAATGCGTAGAACCCGAATCAATCAATACGTATGCATCTTGAGAGCAAATTGAAAGGGTACCTGACACTACCGCCTCGGTGTTCTGGGCGTCTCCGGGTACCAATGTAAAAACTCTGCCTTGCCTTGCCTGTATTCTCTCGACGTTGTTGTTCTGTGCAGGGCCCGAGGTGCTTCCATTCCTCTTTCCGCCGTCAGTCCCTGCCTTCGGGCAGTCCTTCACACGATGACCTATCTCGCCGCACTCATAGCAAGCTCCTGTTGCCCAACGACAAACCCCGAAATGTAGCTTTCCACAACTCGCGCACACCGGCTTGGCGTTACCTTCCTGATTTGAGTTGCTGGAACTGTCTGTGCTCATTCTCTTCTTGGCATTGAACGGAACTCGGCGATTATCACAATTCTGTCTCTTCCTCTGGCCTTCATCTGAACTCTGGTATCGGTTCAAGTTAGCTTCAGCCAGGATAGCCCTGTCCAGTACTCCGGCGTATGTCGGCATATTGAGCATATTGACCCGATATTGTATCGGCCCACGCAACCCACTTTCGAACTTCCTCGCCTTTCGGTATTCGTCGTCAACCACATGAGGCGCATATCTCGCCAGTTCAGTAAAGGCACGATCGTATTCTGCGACTGTCTTGTTCCCTTGCATCAGATTCTGGAACTCTGTGGTCTTTCGGTCTCGGACGCTAAGGAGGAAATGCTTGTTGTAGAATAGCTCCAAAAATTTGGCCCAAGTCAAACCCGGATTGCTTTCTCGGACCATCATCCACCACCTACGAGCATCGTCGTCTAATGTGAATGCTGCCAGAGATACCTTCTGGGCGTCTGTACTGGGGAAGATCTCAAACAACTTCTCCATCTCTAAAACCCATGCCTCGGCTTTCATTGGTTCTATACCTCCTTGAAATCTCGGCGGTTTCATTTTCTTGAACTCTCTGATTAGGGTTATCGTGTCGTTCCCATACAAAGCCTGCTGTAGTGGCACTTGTGGCACTGGAGGGGGTGGAGCTGTATAATGGCCATTCGTCTGTTCGGCCTGCGTGGAAGTTGTACCAGTATCCTGTGGCCTAGGTTGTCTCTGCTCACGAACCAAGCCTTCGACTAACCTTTCCAATCTCTCCAATCTATCTTCTGAACGATCTCGGCCAACCGGAGGTCTACCTCTCCTCATGATGCTAGGAAGATGCAAGATGAACTTTAAAAAATAACTGAACAGATAATACGTATACAAGTAACAAATGTCTATGCCGAAATGATGCACACGTAGTCAAGTAGCAAGTAATATGATGCAATCCTAATATCATTCTAAGGAAAATCCTAGGCTCTTTAGGACTCAAGGTAGGTGATTAACGTACTATAAAGATCTTATGCTCTGATACCATTCTGTCACGCCCCCAAACCGCCCCTAGTAGTTTGGTGCCGTGATGGCCAGTAATCCGAGATTACCGAAGGCCGACTTACAAGAATCACACACAAATCAGAGTATAAATATGGGGCTTAGAAGTGCGAAAGCAACATATATACATATACTGAATTTAAATAGTCCATGAGAGCCGTGCTTAAGTCCAATGAAATGACATACATTTGTACAAAGTCTTACAACTTAGATACAATAAGGAAATGAGATACAAAATACATCTTGACCAAAAGGCTTCTCAAGCCGACATATACAAGTACACATGAAATATAGGCTAAGAAGCATAATCTTCAAGATGGTACAAAATGCTAATCCAAAACACGTCGGCAATGCACCCAAAAACACATCGGCTACACGTCTAGGCCTCATTGCCTTCTTGCTCATCACCTACATATATATAGAGAGGGTGAGCTTGGATACTCAGTGAATGATATTAGAAATAAAGGTTTTGCATGATTGACATCCAAGATTCCTTTTAAAACAATACATAGCATACTTTGCAATCAAGGGGGGAAATCAAGTTCATTGCCGGCCTTTCAAGTTCCTTGGATGTTATTACATCTACTTAATACAAGGGGGTGATGACATTCCAAGACAAAGAGTGCAGTTGCATTATAGTCCCCTGCAACTAAGGACTTTCAAGACAAGAGTGCAGTTGCATTATAGTCCCCTGCAACTAAGGACTTTCAAGACAAGAGTGCAGTTGCATTATAGTCCCCTGCAACTAAGGACTTTCAAGACAAGAGTGCAGTTGCATTATAGTCCCCTGCAACTAAGGACTTTCAAGACAAGAGTGCAGTTGCATTATAGTCCCCTGCAACTAAGGACTTTCAAGACAAGAGTGCAGTTGCATTATAGTCCCCTGCAACTAAGGACTTTCAAGACAAGAGTGCAGTTGCATTATAGTCCCCTGCAACTAAGGACTTTCAAGACAAGAGTGCAGTTGCATTATAGTCCCCTGCAACTAAGGACTTTCAAGACAAGAGTGCAGTTGCATTATAGTCCCCTGCAACTAAGGACTTTCAAGACAAGAGTGCAGTTGCATTATAGTCCCCTGCAACTAAGGACTTTCAAGACAAGAGTGCAGTTGCATTATAGTCCCCTGCAACTAAGGACTTTCAAGACAAGAGTGCAGTTGCATTATAGTCCCCTGCAACTAAGGACTTTCAAGACAAGAGTGCAGTTGCATTATAGTCCCCTGCAACTAAGGACTTTCAAGACAAGAGTGCAGTTGCATTATAGTCCCCTGCAACTAAGGACTTTCAAGACAAGAGTGCAGTTGCATTATAGTCCCCTGCAACTAAGGACTTTCAAGACAAGAGTGCAGTTGCATTATAGTCCCCTGCAACTAAGGACTTTCAAGACAAGAGTGCAGTTGCATTATAGTCCCCTGCAACTAAGGACTTTCAAGACAAGAGTGCAGTTGCATTATAGTCCCCTGCAACTAAGGACTTTCAAGACAAGAGTGCAGTTGCATTATAGTCCCCTGCAACTAAGGAACTGCATAAAATTAAACATGGAAGTTCATTCAAGAAACCACTATATCTTAACGATCTATTTGGAAATTAAATAAAAAAGGAAATTGAATAGAAAAGGAAATTGATTAAAAATGGAAGTGGAATAAAAATAAAAATGGAAATTGCATAAAATTAAAAATGAAAGTTCATTCAAGAAAGCATACACCTTAACGATCTATATGGAAATTAAATAAAAAAGGAAATTGAATGGAGATGGAAATTGAACAAAATAGAAGTTGAATAAAAATAGAAATGCAAACTACGGAATGGCACTCCGGCAAGGGGTGACATCGGCTAACAAAAGGACTTCGGCAACTAAGGTGACAATGACCTCGGCTAGGTAGGACAACACTTGACTAAGCTGTGCCACATCTTGGCCTAGATGCGCCACACCTCGGTCTAGGTCATACCACTCCAGGACGAGATCACTTGGGTGCAAGGTAACATCTCGGCTAATGTGTCAAGGCAAGGACGGAGGTCAACAAGGGGTTCCAAGATACTTCTAGACTGAGGGTGACCTCGGCTTGGAATGATCTAGGCATAACGTAACCTAGGCTTGGAATAACATCGGCTAACATGACTCAGGCAAGGCGTGACCTAAGTTTCACATCAAGGAAGGAACAAGACAAGCATACAACACTTAGACAAATCACAAGGCTTCAAAACAAGGCATGGATTTCACTCACTCAAGCGAAACAAGCCACAAACATACACATGCAAGCCCAACAAGCCATAATCATACAGATGCTCATGAACATGACGGAGACATAAAATGTGGGCTCCTACAATAGCGCACCTCATTGCGCAGTTTTGTGCACACTACTTGCATTTTGCATGCATTTTATCTTGCATTTTGCATGCATTTTATCGTGCTATCTTGCGCACCTCATTGCACTGTTTTGTGCACATTACTTGCATTTTGCATGCATTTTATCGCGCTATCATGCGCACCTCATCGCGCTGTTTTGTGCACATTTCTTGCATCTTGCATGCATTTTATCGAGCTATCTTGCACACCTCATCGTACAGCTTTGTGCACGTTACCTGCATTTTGCATGCATTTTATCGCGCCATCTTATGCATCGCGCAATTTTACGCTGTGCCCACCACTTGCATTTTCCATGCATTTTATCGCACTATCTTGCGCACCTCATTGCACTGTTTTGTGCACATTACTTGCATTTTGCATGCATTTTATCGCGCTATCGTGCGCACCTCATCGCGCTGTTTTCTGCACATTACTTGCATTTTGCATGCATTTTATCGCGCTATCTTGCGCAGCTCACTGCACTGTTTTACGCACATTACTTGCATTTTGCACGCATTTTATCACGCTATCTTGCGCACCTCATTGCGCAGTTTTTTGCAGAGTACTTGCATTTTGCTCGCATTTTATCGCGCCATCTTGCGCACCTCATTGCACAGTTTTGTGCAAACTTCTTGCATTTTGCATGCATTTTATCGCGCTATCTTGCGCACCTCATGGCACTGTTTTGTGCACATTACTTGCATTTTGCAGGCATTTTATCGTGCTATCATGCGCACCTCATCGCGCTGTTTTGGGCACATTACTTGCATTTTGCATGCATTTTATCGCGCTATCATGCGCACCTCATTGCACTGTTTTGCGCACATTACTTGCATTTTGCATGCATTTTATCGCGCTATCTTGCGCACCTTATCGCGCTGTTTTGTGCACATTTCTTGCATCTTGCATGCATTTTATCGCGCTATCTTGCGCACCACATCTTACAACTTTGTGCACGTTACCTGCGTTTTGCATGCATTTTATCGCGCCATCTGATGCATCGCGCAATTTTACGCTGTGTCCATCACTTGCATTTTGCATGCATTTTATCGCGCTATCTTTCACACCTCATCGCACAGTTTTGTACACATTACTTACATTTTGCATGCATTTTATCGCGCTATCTTGTGCACCTCATCGCACAATTTTGTGCACATTACTTGCATTTGGTATGCTCTTTCTCACACTATTTTGCGCATCATGCATCGCGCAATTTTACGCTGTGTCCATCACTTGCATTTTGCATGCATTTTATCGCGCTATCTTTCACACCTCATCGCACAGTTTTGTACACATTACTTACATTTTGCATGCATTTTATCGCGCTATCTTGTGCACCTCATCGCACAGTTTTGTGCACATTACTTGCATTTGGTATGCTCTTTATCACACTATTTTGCGCATCGCCCAATTTTACTCTGCGTCCATTACTTGCACTTTGCATGCATTTTATCGCGATCTCCTGCGCACCTCGTCGCACTATTTTGTGCACATTACTAGCATTTGGTATGCATTTTATCACGCTATCTTGCGCAACTCATTGCACTATTTTGTGCACATTACTTGCATATTGCACGCATTTTATCGCGCGATA